ATGTGTCTGTTTGAGAGAGGGGGAGGGAGGGAGGGAGGGAGAGAGGGAGGAAGGAGGAGGAGGGAGAAGAAAAAGAATGAAGGAAAACTTTCCACAAATGAGAAAAACAAATGCTGTCGCTTTAAATTGGAACTGAGCATGCCTGGCTGTGGAATTCTGGGAGTTGAAGTCCACAAGTCTAAAAAAATTTGAAACCCCCGTGTCAGTGCCTCACCAGCCATAAACCTCACCGCACGTCACTGCAGTGGTATCATATAATCTAAATCTAGAGCAATAATTTTCAAATGGAAGAAAAATATAAAATTTGGCCTTAGCCAATGACATTGTCAAGAATGCAGTAGATCAGTGGATCCCCTGTAGCCTTTTCTTATATGTGAGGCACACCAATGATGGTGTATATCATGTTATGCATCCATAGTACAGAAATACCATGAGGCTGTACCCCTGAATTTCTAAATGGCAGAATACAGCAGACAGATAAAAATGAATTTTAATTGAAAATTACTGATTTTTTTTTACTTCTCTGACTGATTTTTACAGAAACCTAGTCAATTTCCCGAATATTTTAAATAGTAATAGTTATTAGAAAAGAATGTTATCGCCCTCAAGCAAGCTAAAGCAGCTCTTTACTGATGATCCACTCAAGAAAAACAGACTTGCATTTAGATCGTATCAGTTTTATGTGCGTTATCGCATGATAATGCTTGAAGTCAATGATGTTAATATTATTATCAATGCATTGTTCTCATATATCACAATTCTATCTCTATTGCGGCCAGCATATTTTTTTCTAGGCAAGTTCCAAGACCTTTTATAACACCCCATAGAGTTGGGGTGGAAGTTGGGCATTGGAGAATGGACAAAATGTTTGCCCTGCTTTTTTTTCTTCTTCTCAGCTGTTTCTCCCCCAGCTTTTCTGAAGCAGAACATTCTGTCAAAATTCTGACACACTGGTTAGGTAGGAATGTATTAAAAATGTGCAGGTAGGGAGTAAGTAAAAATCTCTGTATCCAAGAATTGAACAAACAATACACTGTTGGAAATCCAATGCTGTTGGATTTCAGAAATAGAATGTATTAATTTTTATTCATATGCTATAGCACTAGAATTGTTCTTTCACAAGGAATATTAGCAACTTAAAAAAAACCTATTGGAACCTATGTATTGACTGCAGGGTATTCTTCCAAGAACTTCTGAGGATGAAAGAACATACACAGAAAGTAGTTTTGCTGAGATACCCAATGTAGTGATGGATTGCATGGCCAAACTGTGAAGGCACCACAGCTCATTTGTATGAAGTATCTATAGTCTAGTGCCGTGATGGCACACGCGCACTGGCCAGCTGACTTTGGCTTTCTTTTGAGGCTTTCAGGAATGTACTTCCGGTTTGCTTGTACGGCCGGTTTTAGCCCTCTGGAGCGTTCAGGAGCCTTCAGGCGACTTCCCTGAAAGCTCCGGAGGGCAAAGAATGACCGGAAGTGACTTCTAGTTTGCTCGTAGGGCTGGTTTTAGCCCTCCGGAGCCTTCAGGGAAGCCTCCTGAAGGCCCGATGGCTCCAGAGGACGAAAAACGGCCCTACGGGCAAATCAGAAGCTAACTTCCCGTTAGCTCATGGGGACATTTTTTGCTCTCCGGAGCCTTCAGGGAAGCCTCCTGAAGGTTCCGGAGGGCTAAAACCAGCCCTACGAGCAAACTGGAAGTCCATTCCTGAACTTCCAGATTGCCCGCAGGGCTGATTTTTCGCACTCTGGAGGCTTCAGGGAAGCTCCAAGAGCCGAGGTGGCACAGTGGTTAGGGTGCAGTACTGCAGGCCACTTCAGCTGACTGTTATCTGCAGTTCAGCGATTCAAATCTCACCGGCTCAAGGTTGACACAGCCTTCCATCCTTCCGAAGTAGGTGAAATGCCAGACTGTGGGGGCAATATGCTGACTTTGTAAACAGCTTAGAGAGGGCTAAAAGCCCTATGAAGCGGTATATAAGTCTAACTGCTATTGCTAACTGCTATTGCTAGCTCCTGAAGTCTCCAGGGGGCCTCTGCGGGGGGCTTGTTTTCACCTTCTCCAGGCTCCTATAAAGCCTCTGGAGCCTGGGGAGGGCGAAAAAAGCACACCAAAAATGGAGGGAGCGCTGTTCGTGCACGCATGTGCGCTGGGGTTGTGTGAATAGCATTATGGGTGTGGCATGCCTGCGCACGACCCCCCCCTGCGCTCCCCTTGCTTTTGGTACGTGAGTCAAAAAAGATTCGCCATTACTGGTCTAGTGCTATTTTAGTAACACAACAAGCTTGTGGTGTTTAAATATGTAGGGCATAAATATAAATCAGTTGGGGTGTTATCCAATTCTCAGAAAAAAGAGAAAAAGCCATATTTATCATAATGTGATTTTATTATCATCTCAATATTTAGGCAGCTACAGAAAGCAGATACAAATAAATGATTAATACAGGCTTAAACCTCTGGGCAATGAACACTAAATTTGTCCCCAAATTCCATATCAAAAGCCTATCTCATTTCAGACTGATTTCCACAAACGTTATTTAATTATTCTAATTAAACTGATTTTTTAAAACTATTTTTTCTAAGCCAGCTTTTATCAGCTTTTTTCCTGTCTTTGCATAAAATCTAAAAGAAAATCATAATAAAACTAGCAGAGTGAAGGGAAAATCAGGCTAAAGGGAAAATGTGTAAGTAACATTAAAAATTTAACCGAGAATAAAATGCGTATTTCTTTGGTTAATGAAAAAAAAAGAGGGGGGGGGGAGTGGAGCAATATACTTGTTTGTGTGATAGATGTACACTATAGCATTCTAAAACAGGAGACAAGAATGTCAAGAGTGTATTCTTCCCCCACTGCCAGATGGAAAGGCTATTATTATAAATGAAAGGCAGCCGTAGTAGATGCCAGGCACTGTTGTGGTGTGCCAGATTCTGAAGTCCAGATGTAAGCGGGTTACCCCTGGGACAGGACAGGCTTCAGCTCCCGCAGAAGAATGGAGCCAATCACCGTCTTCTCCGTGTTGATGAAGAGCTGTGCTGTGGATCCTTCTTCCAGCTCCACTGTGACAAGCACAAGTGACCCACTGTGCACAGTTTTAGCCGCAAACCTAACAGATTAAAAACAAAATGGGTGAGTGGTTCCCTAGAAAACTAACATAAAATGCAGTGTTTGTTTCAGTGATTAAAGGGATGAAACTTCACAAGACACCCATAGAATACAAAGCTTTTCCAAAGCCAAACCATTAACATTGCACAGCGCAATAAGAAAATGATTTTATGATTTTATATTGTTACATCTATATAATTTGCATAGAAGAATACTAAAAATGCTTAAAATGTAATAGTTCAGTTTGAATCTTGCCTGAAAGAGCTTCGCAGAGCACATAACTGATCTGAAGGTTAACTGTATTCATTCAGTAGTCAAAGTCTTGTTAATACAATATATATGGTAATCAATAAAGAAGGGTCTCCACAACATACACTCTTAAGCACCCTCAAAGATTCCAACTTTCCAAATTAACAAATCTTTTAAGTTTTTACATATTGGAACATTAAATAGATTTCTAATGACTTTAGCCGATAAAAGGAATCATGAGCTATAATCCGCTATTACTAAATTCCAAAACATGAAAAACCTACTCATTACATGGAATTAAAAGCAAAACTAGTCTTTTAAGCACTGCAACTGATTGAAAAGCCATTTTAGGCACAATGAACTTCTGTCAATCCTGTTAATTCATTCTACATGCGGAGCCAGACCCAAGAGACAGGATGGAAAGACATGGCAAGAGGCTACTTTTCAATGCTCCACAAAGCAAACTGCCCCCCCTTCTCTGCTTGGAAAAAAAACCAGGGAGAACCCAAGGCACCACAAAGTTGCTGCACATGGGCTTTTGAAAACACTAACAAGTGTGGAGCAGGTCTGCGACCCACAGTGACCCCACTTTGCAGGGCCAATTCCCTCTCCCCTTTCTGAATGACACGTGTCTGAATCAGAGCCATCTGCCTCAATTTGCGCAACATCTTCAGCCACAATGGGATCCAGTTAGCCCTGACAAAAGCTCACAATACATAAAAATAAAACTGCTGTGCTGACAGCACGCCATCAGCTATTCAAGAGCAAACCAACTGGTCAGTGTCTCATGTCTGACAATTAGCATGGGCCTTGTGCAGCGCCTCCTGGGCTCCTTAGGGATCTGTTTAATTACCATCAACATAAAAGTGGGAGTTTATCAGCAGATACTCAAAAAGCTTCACTCTAGACTTAATTAAAATATTAGCCTCTTCAGCAGGAAGCAGATTCTCTTTAAATGAAAAGTAATTCCTTTTTTAAAATATTAAGTATATCAGCATCAAAATCTTGTAACACATTATACTAATTTAGGAAAATATAAGCCTTTCCTAACTGCACTCTTCATAGGTCAATGTATTTATTTTATTTAGATTAAATATACTATTTTCACTCTTCATGGCTAAGAAGAAGAAAAAAAAACCATTCCCAATAAAGCAACACCAACGGTGCCATTTAGTCTTTTCTTTTTCTTTCAGCAAAATGTTAAAATCTATGTTTCTCCCATCAATTTGGAAAGGGTGATAATTAAGTAAACAATACTCTTATTAATCTATTTCTTTATCATTTGTGTCCTGGGACTATAGAAGCCGATTATGCCTGATTTCACATAATAAAAGCACCAGACCTGGGGCTCTCATGGTTTTTCATAGCCTCAAGGTTCATTTTACTCTTGTTCTACTCTAAACTGCAAGCGATATAAAGTCAATGTTATTATAAAAGCAAACGTAGCCCAAAGGCACAATGGGGTCAATTCTGGTTGGGTGCTTTTCATGTCACTTAAGTAATTAGTTAAGAAAAGAAAAAAAACCTCTTTGAAATAAATAGCTCAGAATCTCTTGGAAAAAGATTTTGTTGTAATAGCAAGAAATCCGTACCATCCACTTGCAAACAAGTATTAACTTCCCATGTGGCAGGGATTAATGCTGCTATTATATCTAAGGCAAGCTAATATTGGAAGCACTTATGCAAGTCAGACGACTAGTAGTGTCTCACGCAGCGATTTTACTGTTAAAAGATAAATCTATTTCAAAAGGTAAGCAAGTGTGGTCACAAATATTATGGCTTGTGGGAGGTAAACATTACTTTAGTAAAATAATACCCAGACAACATTCAAGAACACTTGTAAAGAAAACATACACAATCATGTTGAACAACTACTTAACGGAGAACACAATGCCTCTAAAATGATGGAGGTACTCTACTTGGGAGACCAATGCACATGGTAAAGAAATCTACAGCCCCATATATCAAAGGCATCTATACATAGACACTTCTCATTTGTAACCTCACCCTGAAGCTTTCACAACCTCCTCTATATACATATATACACATTTTTCTTATAAGGGATATGCAACTTATATATGTTCAAAATAAAAACTTGAAATTATTAAGCTAATTTTAAAAAACCCACTCCTTTGTGTACTCCGATTAATTATACAAATCTCACAGGGATTAAGAAAGGCGGCCTTTTTTAAAAATCTTCTCTTCACAAATATCTATATGTATGTACAACCCTGGCATATATGTAAAGCGGAATTGGGGATGGTTCTGTTTTTGAAGAATACAGGTGGTCCTTCATTTATGACTACAATTGACATTGGAATTTCCATTGCTAAGCAATGCAGGCCTTAAGTGAGTTTTGGCTGTTTTTACATCTTTTTTTACTTAATTGAATTGCCATGATAATTAAATGAATCACAGAGTTGTTAACCAAATCTGGCTTTTCCCATCCCATTGGCTTTCTCTTTCTCTACACACAAACACACACATACACCATGCAAACACAGAGTCTTTATTATTTTTAGAAATAACCCAAGGTGTTGTTTTCTGGAGGCCCTCTAGGAAGGCTGTAAATGGTGAAAATATGACCCCTGGATGTTACATTCATTGCCATGAGCCTGAATTTTGATCAAATGCCTGCTGCAACAGTCATAAGTGCGAGAATAACTCATTATTTTCAGCACCACTATAACTTTTGAACAATCATTAAATGAATGATCATAAATCATAAGTTTTGAAATTAAATGCTGATCATTTTAATGTATATCCCTTTTGAAAAAGAGATCTACACTTAAAAGGAATGCTTGATAGACTGCATAAGGGGGGAAAAAGCCCTTCAGATTATATATGGTTACTCTTGTCCTTCAACGGAAGCAAATAAAGCAAAGTCTTAATTATGAAAAACATTCCTGATTTGAATTATAAAGTAATAAATTGCTGATTTTTTAAAACTAGTGGGGCTCCCAGCCTCTTTTTCACAATTAAAATGAAGATAAATATTTATAAGTTGGTCTAGAAATCACAATTTTCAGAATCAGAAGGCCACTACATTATTCCTTTTGTTTTAAAAAGATTTTAATTGTTTATTCACTTATATAATCACTGGCTACAAAAGATTCACAACACTTTTCAACTGCATGCTTTCTTTTGTGTAGTTCTGATCCAAGTTCAATTTCTTCCTCTTTTCAAATTAATCAGAAGCTGTTACAATAGCCCATTCATGCTACAACTTTTTTCCTACTCTCTGCATGTAGCTTTCATTTATTGCCTGCTGAAGCAGACAGAATCCTATTAGTAAGAAAGACCATCACCAGAGGCCCAGCCCTAGCTGTATAAAAATAATTAGCCCAAAGTTGACAAATGAATAATGAAATTGTACAATGAATTAATCTTCCAATCCGAAATACCAGGATAGTCTTTGAGCAGACATGAAAAGAATCTACAATCTTGTAACTATTGTAAACCATAAACTTAGCATAAACCAGTCCAAAGTGATGAAAACAATTGTCCTTGTTCTTTTATCAGTAACATAAAGAGAGCTGTATGTCATAAACAAAAGTCACTTTAGAAAGTAACTACATGCTGGAGTAGAGTTTCTAAAACAGTTAGATTTTACAATACTGTACACACCCAATATTTTTTTTCCTCCAGCTGTGCTTCAAACAAAATAAAGCCACAAAAGGCAGACAGGCAGGCAAGCCAGTCACTCCTCAACCCCCTCTCTGTCACTTTGTTATATTGGGAGATTTACAGTTATGTCTAGAAAAGTACGATTGCAATTGTATTGTTTAGTTTCATTTTATTCTTCTTATAATGTGGTTACCACAATTCAAATCTCAAACCAATAGCTTGGGAAACAGAATGACACCTGCAGTTATTTAATATTGGGAAAACACTACCAAAAAAACCCCCAATTTGATTTGTATCAACATTTAATAGTCATTCTAGGATTTAGTATCTCTTAAGTTATTATGACATTTTGTACCCTGAAAAAGAATTGGTTGCCCTGAAAAATTCAGTATTTCTGTGTTAAAAAAGAAAATTATAGACAGCACCATTGCCTAGTTGCCATTATTGAGAAGCAGCTATAATAAGCAAATTGTAAAATTGAGCTCTCAGCCAGAAAGGTTAATTTTACACAAATAATCCATAGTGGTTTAAACATAAACCAGCTTGCTTGCAAGCATGCTCTGCTTAGCGAATCAGTTGACAACAACATAGAGAAAAAAGTGATCCCTATATTTTGCACTTCTTAATTTCAGATATAAAAGCAGTGCTGCTCTCTAGTGGACAGTGATCAGGTTAGTTCCCATACCTATCTTGATTCATTAAAAAAAAAAAAATCCAAATAGCACACAGGTAGATTTAAAACTAGCAAACTGCTAATTAAAATGTAATTTGGGTTCCATATTACTCATAAATAGTAAAATTCTGCTGAGATAATCTTTGCACACAAAAAGGAATATGTTAAATAGAGATAATCCAATATTAAATTGAACATTAAAACATATCCTTATTAATAATGATGTGTATTACTACAAGATGAAGTTAGATAAGATCTCCATCATTAACCAGTCAGAAGACTACAGGATTTGATGGAATATCTACAGAAATATGGCAAGTAACAGAAGAACCAGTGACAGCGAATTGGAAATCATACAGTAGACAATAGATTAGAAATGACTACAATACCAAAGAAGCATAGAAGGGACTTAGCAGGATGCAATTTTATGCTGACAAAATAATCATCCAGTA